GGCCCGCTAGTAAACTATACAGCCGAAGACAATAAACCTCAAAAGGTTGAGTGACTGAGAGAGGGGATTATGAGGTTAAGCAAAACAATTATTGGGCATCCCTTTTCAACTAATTGAAATCTCAGAGGCCGCCACCCATCAATTCTTCAGCTTTGCCAACAACTACATTAATAATATAAAAACATAAAGAAAGGGTGATGAAAATGAGATACGCCCTACCCTGGTAACTTCACCATTATTTACTATTTTTATATCAACTTGCATTTATCCAATACCATTTTTCAAGCCTAAGTAGCCCTAATCAGTCTCTACGTACAAACCGGAACAGGAAGTTGCCCGCTAGATTAAGACAGTACTTTTGTCTCTTTTGAGTTGGTTCAAACTTCAAACCAAGTTGTAATTAAATGTTGTTTATGCATTGTGAATTGAAGGACCAAGATTACATAGAAGAGAGAGTTTAAGATGGGGTTTTTTTTCTTTTTTTTTTATTCGATCCTGGCAAAGAGAGAGTATAAGAATTAGTCGCTGAGGCATGAGCTGAGGAACTGTACTTTAATATGTTGTTTCTTCATATTTGCAGATGCTAGAGGCCTGCAACATCTTCCCATCGTTACAACAAACTATAAAATACAGAAATGATTTGGTTACAATGTCAAACAATATGATGTGAAAAGCCATCTCATAATGAATTTATTTTCACAATTTAATACAATTAATCAATTATAACTATAAAATTACATAAACTCCTTTTAGAGTTATATTTTGTCATGTCTTTATTATATGTGATGTTGTAACCTTATTAGTATTCGCACCAAATAAGAAACCATCTTCAATTTGGTTTTGAGGAACTTATTGCAGAATTAGTCTTTAGCAGGAGAAGAATTAACCAAAAAAAAAAAAAAAGGGCATAAAGTCTAAAAAGGTCTCGACCTCTACGTCAAACATTCTGACCTTTACATATTCTCTAAGATTAGAGTAATATAGGAACCTTCTAATGATGAGTTTGATTCGGTGAGAGCAAAATTTATGCAAAGATAACTACATAAATTAAGTGCAATTCATAGCTAAATCTTGCCATAAAAAGCAGTGGATGAAGATGTATAAGAAGGAGAGAAATTTAAAAGAGCAAAGTGCATTAATTGTATCTTAAATTTGGTTCAAAGCTTAAAAAAAAAAAAAAATTCACCTGCACATACCGAAGAAAAAAATATTATGGAACTTATTAAAAATGTTTATTGTCTCTCTTAACCAAATTGATAATGGTGATAAGATATTAATATTCATCAATTGATCTAAAAAAAATATTAGGTAAAAAACACTTTAAATTATATTATTTTAATAAAATATTAAGGGAAAAGATGAAACTAATCACATTCATATTTTAAAATCTATAATATTCATCTTTTTCAATGAAAATAATTATAACGCCATAATTTTTGAATAATGTTTTTGTTTTCTACAAGTATAGTTAATAAATATTTTTCCTATGATAATAATTCTTTTTTTTCTTCATTAACTAGAACAGGTGATTCTGAGCCCACTAAAGGTGGGGGTTTGAACGTTTCTAATTGGAAGGTAGGATAATTAAACTTGAATCAATGGAGTAATTTATTTAGCTATCGAAGAATTAAACCAAATTGCAGCAACTAGCTAGCTCTGGTAGGGTGGGCCTATTGATTCACTTCCAATGCTTAAGAGTTGAGCTCTAAGCTAGGAGTTTAACTCCTCTTTAACCTTTGGAAAGTATGCCTCTTCCCAAAGTCTCCTCTTGCATAGAAAATGTTTTTATAATATGATCTGTACTGAAAAACATCAATCTGTCTGGAAACAGGCAAACTGATTTGCTGTGTATATATAAAAGAGGAGATACGCAACAATAATTTGGTCATCATTCAACCAAATGTGTACAATTACGTGGTAGACTTTTTTGGTTTACATTTTTAAGAGTGACTCGTGGAGGTAGTTTGTAGCCATGTTTCTATGTTCTTTCATGGTGCCTTTGACACGCCTGACTCCTTTGACTTTAATTAAAATTGACAAAAATTTCCACAACATAATTCCAAATTAATCCACGTGTTTATTAGTATAATGCAGTAGCTAATCTCTTACTCTGACCTTCAAGAAACTGTTCTGATTAATTATTTATTAAGGTTAATGGATCGGTTAATTGAAATTATCGCAGTCAATCCCTTGAAAGAAAAGGAACAAAATCCAACCACTTGGGCACGCACCCAAGAAATAGCCTTCTAGGTTAGAACCATTCTTTTATGTATGGATATTTGGCTATTGGTTAAATGCTGAATTTAGTCCTTCAACTTTACGAAATGCACATTTTTAGTCCCTTAACAATTTTTTGCACTTTTTTGATCCCTTAACTCTAAAACTTGCACAATTTTGGTCCCTCCATCAGTTAAGTATAACATGACAGTTAAATATGACATGACAGTTAAATAATTTCATGTGGCATTATCTTTTAATTTTTATGATGATGTGGCAATAATATATATTATAATTATATTATATAAATAAATAAAAATGCCACATAGATTAATATTTATATTTTAATTAAAAACAAATACAATTTCTTTTTTACCCTCACCCTCCCAATCCCTCTTCTTCCCCTTCTTTCTTTCTCTTTCTTTCTTTCCTACCCTGGGTTGGTGGAAAGCTGGGTTCATCGGAACTCAACATAGAAACATCCAACATTTGGTAAAGACGGAAAGTAGCCAATGGAGGGCTCTAGGCTCTGCGTGCTCTTACCCATTTTCTTGCTCAACGATGACTTGCCAATGGATAACTCCAGGCTCAAGAGGAACGTCATCGGTATGTTTCCGAAGCAGATTGCGCTTGCCATTTCCTCACCAACTTCAATGTGGGTCTCCTGGGTCACGGGTACTTTCTTTCTAGATGTTGATTTTGCTTCTATTCTTGTTTGTGCTATTATGGGTTCTTTGATAGATTCGTTGATTTTGGGTTGATTTGTGTTGGCTCAGGGGATGCTCAGATTGGCTCTAATGTGATTGCACTCGATCCATCATGGTTTGCTGGGTTCGATTGAAACCTAGATCTCCTGGGTTCCGATGAACCCAGCCTTGCTGGGTTTTGTCGAAACTCTGCTGGGTTCGGTTGAAACCCAGCCAACGAACCCAACCTGGGTTCGTTGAAACCCAAATCTGCTGGGTTCGTCGAAACCCAGCCTTACTGTTTCGACGCAATTTCCATTCCTAGTTGTTAATAAATCTGGGAGTTGATTTACAATTTGATTGATTTTTGTTGGAATTTAATTAGAATTTGATTGTATTTTTGTTGAAATTTAATTAGAGTTTGATTGATATTGTTTATTGAAGGGTTAATTTGATTTGATAACATCTATTATGTTAGGTTTGAGGCTTCAATGAAACCCAGTAGCTGGGTTCAATGACAAAGAATTTCAAATTCTCCTTTGAAGCATTCTAGGGTTCATAGGGTTCATAGACATATTATTTTGTGAGAACTCTACTACTAGTGCAACCCAACTCGAGTTAGATTGATTTTGCAAAGAGTGAAGATGAGAGACCATTCTAGGGTTCACATATCTTTATTGGTGGTTTGCAGGCAATGTAAGACGGTGTTGGTGCAGGAAGAAGATGACATGTCATAAAAAAGAGTCCAGTTCAGCACATTTTTATGTTGTTCTTGCCATGTCATCAAAAAAATAATAATAAATGTCACGTGGCTGTGTTAACGGCCCAAATTGACGGAAGGATAAATGTTGTGCATTTTTTAGAGTTGAGGGATCAAAAAAGTGCAAGAAAATTGTTGAGGGACCAAAAATGTGCAACTTACTAAAGTTGAGGGACCAAATTTAGCATTTAACCTTGGCTATTCTTCAGGAACACTCACTAAGAAAAAAAATATTATTGTAGCTCATGTGAAATTTAATTCAGCTTGCAATGTACCAAACTAAGTTTACTTCTTGAGAGTACATATTTAAGATAGATGCAAACAATTTCACTGAGATATCACCGTCACATTTGAAGATGGGCTTTTGCCTAATCCTTATAAATGGAGTAGTTTACAAGTACTCATACAATTAATTGATTAACCGAGTAAACAATCCAAATACTTATATTATTAGAAAAACAAACTTAATTAGTTTAGCTCCTTAATTTAGTTATTAATAAGTTATGGGTTCTTCAAATATGTGCCCTAAGAACATAAGTTAAGAACATATTTTTAATATTAATTGTCATTGAAAAAATAAAATTTAACATTCATTTAATCATGTTCAATTAAAACAATACATGTAGTATTTGTTATAAAAATGATATCAATTTTCATTATTTTTTATACTAATTAATATCAAAAAGACGTATTAATTACATCATTAACATGTGCTTTAAGGGCAGTAATTAGATAAATTTATAAATTATTTACACTAGAATTATAAAATTCATAAAAAAGTTTTTCTAATTTGAATCTGTGAGGTACAAATTAAGAAAATAATTAATGGCATTTTTTGTTATTAAGTTATATAGAAAGAATAAAGTTTGATTTTAATTTTGATAACTAACCAATTAAATTAAAACATGTAGTATTGATGTTAAAACTAATATCAATTTTTTTTATATAAATTAATAATTAAAAAATGTATTAATTACACTTTTAACCTATATTTTAAAAATACATGTTAAAATAATCCTCAATAAAATATTACATTTTTATTCACCTCTCAAAAAATTCCCATCCTAATCAATAAAGTAAGAATACCCATCCTTCAATACCTCATTAAAGGACATGGGTCCGTTTAATAACGTTATTGTTTTTTGTTTTCATCTTTTTGGAACAGTTAAAAATACTTCTATTAACTGTACAAGAGGTACTTTAATGCTAATACTAGATGTAGTAATTTAGTAATGTTTTTTTATTTTTATAGATGAAATGCCATGTATGGTATTAGTTGCTAAAATTAAAAAATAAGGAAATTGATTTATGATAAGATGATGTGATATAATTTTTATTGATTATTTTATTTTAAGTAAAAAGTATGATATTATATATCTTTATTTATTTAATATTAGGTAGACATTATAAGATTTTTATTGTAAAAAATAAAAAATAAAAAGATAATACTAACAAACTCAAATATTACAACATGACATGGCATAATCTTATGGTTTATTTAATTTTCTATGACAGATGAGAGAATAATACAGGCCTTTAGGGTAGTGGGCAGCATTTTTTACTATTTTAATTTGGGTTGGACACAATGATATTATATGCCTATTTAATATCATGTAAACATTATATGATTTTTATTATAAAAAAATCAAAAATAAAGAAATAATACTCATAAACTCAAACACTACAACATGACACAGGCATAATTTCATGATTTACAGTATTTGATTTTCTATGACAGTCGATAGATGAGAGAATAATACAGGCCTTTTGGGTAGTGGGCAGCATTTTTCCACGTTGAGAGACAATATATGTAAGAATTAAAATCAGGGAGATAAATGAGCAAAGTCAAACTCAAATCTACCATATAACCTAACTATAATTTTGAGGTGAGGTTCAAATTCGATTCATCTAAACCTAATCTAATTAGTTGCCTCCTTCAACAATATCACTACCTGCCAGTATTTGCATAGGCCATTACATAAGTTTTTCAGCATTTTTTCTTCATAAATAAGATTTATTTTTTATTAATAATTTATTGGTTCAAGTACAAAAATTTTTGATTCTCTTTAAATAAAACTTTGAATTTAAGTTTTGTAAACAAAGAAATATGTGTTAGAAAAACTTTTTTTCTTATGAGATCCGACTTGATTTAACTTTAAATTAGTTAAAATTCAATATAATTTTTAAATATTAAAAGATTAGTACCAAGAATAAGATAGATGGATTGGATTAAACCCGTAGACTTAAGCAACCTCTCGAAATGCACTATCATGTTAAATGTATACCATATGTTAAGCATTTAATATGTGACTCCTTTGTTTTATAATTATCCATGCTGCCGGTGCCTTGGGCTCACGAATTAGCTTTGGCAATCTGTCTAATATTATCCCATATTAGTCAGGAAATCCTCGACCTTTTGGTGTTTCCTAACCACTTGGGGCCCCTCTTATCATTGAGGATCCTTTCACGTCACTCTTTTGACAAAATATCTTCGTCAACTCTCCCCTTCCAATATATAAACACAGCAAAATTTAAAGCCTGCCCCCTTAATTAATCTAACTCATTGAAGGTGTAACTTTCCCTCAGGTTAGTCTTAATTAAATCCGATTGTTTTCCTCCTAAATTTGTAATGGTTAGAAGAAAAGGCAAAATTTCACCCATAATAACATCACACGTCCCAAATTATGTATATACTTCTCGTTGAAAATATATACATACAGGTTGTAAACGGGATTTGAATGATGAACAAGACGGTGATGGATAATTAGTTTGGAGCCACTTCTTGTATAGTAGTTGGGTCCATCGAAAAGGGTCGGTCAATGCCTTGATTAATTCTTCCTTGCACTAAAAAAAATTTGAGCAACGTCCATGGGCCCAATATTTAAAGGTAGTACCAGGACAAGAGACGGTTCTTCATGTGTGAACAGCTAGACAAAGAGCAAGGTTCCCATGTGGCATTAATTCAACGTAAAAGTTCTTCGATATCTTTCAAGGTTTCAATAAATTTCTTCCAAGTATTGATATAATGTTGAAATATATAAACGGACTTATCAGAGGATTCGTTTTCAATTTTCTTGGAAATTCAATGGGGTATTATTAAATGTCCGACGAAGACCTTTGCAGTGTCAACTAAGTCTCTAAATACTGCCCGAATAACGGGTAAGAAACGAAAAGTCTTGAATGGCATGATGTATGAGTGATTAAAAAGTTTCCAAATACCAAGATTAACAAACAAGAAGTTGCTTGAACTCACTAGTCATTTTTTTTCAAATTATATATGACCAGTTATGTAAATATGAGAGAAAACCATAAAGAAATCAAAGAAAAAATATAGATTCTAATTATATTTGCCAAAAACCCCCAAAAAAAAATAATAATAATAATCAAAGCATGCAGATTTATTTACAATGACGGTCGATGTGGTTTAGGAATTATATAGGATTATACATTGTATATGTAATGGACAATATATGTGTTCAAGTCAAGATAATTGTACATATTTATCTAGAAAATTGGTGGTGCAAGTGCAAACCTTGAAGGTTTGCTAAACAGATTAGACACTAGGCAATCTCATGAAATAGTGTGTCTTCGAGGAGGAGTCCATCAGGCCAAGCAGCTCCAGCGCCATAGCTTGAAGAAGCATCACCCAAATTGTTGATCAAAGTCCCTGTCACTGAAGGAGCCATAGACGGCGGAGAAGGAGTTGAGAAAGAACCAAGCCATGGAGAATTGGCTAAGCTCTCATGGTTCAGTACTGGAGAGTATTCTGGAACTTGAAGGTTTGGCAAATGAGAAAAGGGGGTAGTTTCAGTGATCCCCTGATGACAGGCCATAGTACTTCCTAGATCAAACTGGGATGAACTCAATGCTGAATCTTCCTTGATTGATGAAACTGAGTTCAGAAGAGTAATGGTTTCCATATCAGTGAAAGTTGGATTTATTGAAGCAGGTAAAGCAGGTGGGGTTTGGAGGAGGTATTGGAGGTATTGAAGCTTAGCCATTTGAGCAGCTTCTGTTTGCAGCCTCATAGCATGCTCCTCCCATGACTGATGATCCATGAGCTCTTTTAGGTTAGCCAAAGCCATGAGATGAGGCAGGCTTGAGAAGATGTCACTCCGTGGCCTGTGAGTCATTGGATCAAACCCCATCTGGATGAGCTTCTTCTTCAAATGGGTGTTCCAAAAATTTTTTATTTCATTATCTGTCCTCCCCGGTAGGTGGCTTGCAATTGCTGACCATCTGTTCAAGAAAAATGGGAAATTAGTGTGAACATACATGATTAAAGTCTAATAAAGATGCAAAACAAATGAAACTTCTAAATTTGAATTAATTACTTGTTTCCAAGGATGGAATGAAGGTCGAGAATAGTTTGTTCTTCATCCTGGGAAAACTTCCCTCTCTTAATATCAGGCCTCAAATAATTTGTCCATCTTAGCCTGCAACTCTTCCCACATCGGTTAAGACCTATAAAACAACCAAGAAACAACCATCTTATTAATCACCAGCGACCACAAGAGCAACAGAGAGGAAGAAAATGAAAAAAGAAGAACAAAATCAACCATTTTTCATACCTGCAAGCTTGGGGAGAGCTCTCCAGCTTCCATGACCATGTTTCTGTATATAACTAACAAGTTTCTGATCTTCTTCAGGAGTCCAAGGGCCCTTCTTGAGGCCACTCTCATCACAGGAAGGAGACCTTCCCATAGTTTTATGGCTTTTTATGTTTCCTTGTCTTCTGCTCTAGATTATATCCCTCAAGTCTAACCAGCAACTGCAGCTTACTATATATAGAGTCTCTGCTTCCTACTCTCTGGCAAAACAAGTATGCCCTTTCTTCTACTTAAAATCTCAAACATGTCCTTAATTTTCTAAGTCTCTCCTGTTCCCATATTTTGAAATATTTTTACTTTTGACATTTAATTTCTATAATTAATATTTAAGTGGACCCTAATTCTAATTTTGAAGTAGAAAACATATTTATTGCGGCAAATTGCTAATGGAGATGCCACTTGACACATAATTAATTATTGTGTTCATGTTGAGAAATTCTATATTTTACTCTGGTGATACCATGCAATACCATATCTCATTTCAATAAAAAAAACTATCACTTCATCAAGTATTTGTTAAAAAAAAAAAGTATTTTTTTATATAATTTGTAATTTTTTAAGAAATTGGATGAGTAATTAGTTTATTTTAATTAGGTTGAAATATTATCATTTGAATATGGTAGAATTTCTCATTCTGAAAAAGTAAAAAACATCTTTAATTTTGAATAAAGTTTTATGAATTAATGGAGAATAGGGCATTATGCATGTTGTACAAGAGCCAAGACAAAGTAGAAAATGTCTTCTGTAGCAGGTGAAAAAATCAGTGGATGCTTTTCACACTTAACCATGCCTATTCAAATAGGGGACGGCACCCCTCTCTTTTTTCTTTTTCTTTTTTTTTTTTTTTTCTAATCAAGATATCAAAAGGAGACAGCACCCTTGCTCGTCAAAATAAAAAGATAGTACAACCCTTGTTAATAGTTACTGCTTAGGCACAAAAGGAACCAAAAAAATACAGAACAATCACTCTACACACAACAATCTACCATGCAGCAGCACACTTAAAATCATCCATGTCAAGATCAAACGAGTTACATCCCAATTTCAAACTAACTAATCAAATTTTTTAATGAAAAAAAAAAATTGAAAAGATCAAACTAACTACATCCGATGTCAAAACATGGTAAATATATAATTCTATCATTAGAAAATATTCCACGGAAGGGTACCTAGGGCAGAATGGGGATTTAAAGAATGTATAATGATAAAGAGTTTGATCAAGATATAAAAATTCGACGTTGGCCAATGTATATATAACAATTCGTAGTCAAAAAAAATACGCAACAATATTTTAAGTAGAATATTTTTAGGTACAATTTTATGTTAAGCCCCTTAATATATCACAGATTTTTTTATTAAGCCCCTTGACTTTTATTGAAATAAATAAGTCTTTAAGTTTCTTGATTTAAGTAATTTAACCTCTTTTCTATAGCAGATTTAGCGCTGATTTGTGATTTACTTGTATGGACAACATCAATATCTACGGCGTAAGTAATAACATGTCAATATCTTATCAACACAAGTCATGCAAAAATAAGTGTTAAGTCTATCATTTAGAAGAGGAGTTAAATTATTTAAATTATCAATTTTAGGGACTTATTTATTTTAATAACAGTTTAAAAGTTTAATCAAGAATTTGATATCAGTTAAAGGTTTAAAGGTTTTGTCATGTTAACATGCAATAGTTTTTACTATATAATAACATGAAAGTAAATCAATTAATCTACTATATTTGACTCTTTTATAAAAATAATAATTACAAAATATCATGCCATATTGAATAAGAATCTTTTATTTATTATTTAAATTATATTGAATTATAATATAAAAATTATAAAATTAATATTTATTCTCTCATAATAATTTAATATGATCTGAATTGTATAACATTTTTTTGAATGTTATACTTTAAAATCATTATACGAATAGTATTTTTGCAAAACAAATGAACAAAGAAAGGGCTGAACAAGGTACCGATGTCAGCATGAAGAGGAAGCACTGGTGATCGGAGGAACGCATCTCATGCACGCAACACAGGAGAGTTTCTGTCGTCACCGATTGCATTGACTCCTTGCAAAAACAAAACTTATTTTCACGTATGAATATTTGTTTATACATGCACAGATGGGTCCATATATATATATATATAGAATTTTTTTTTTCTGTTATTTCTAGCCAGCTTATGCATCAACTCTCTACCCCACTTTCTAGGTTGCCTCTTCGCCTCTGCTCCCCTCCAGGCTCCCACCCTCCCCCGTTTCCCCCCATAACCAATTATAGTTCCTTGATCTTGACTGCGTTAATTAGACAGTCAATTTCTTCCCTAATCGGAAACTGTGGCAGTAAGAACCAGCCTTTCTTCTGTCTTCTGCTTGAGTCATGTCAACATAACTAACTAGCAATGGATTTTGCCTTAACTGAAAATTTGAAGAGATAATAGTACGCTCTACTCACTTCCCCCTCTAAAGTCTAAACTAAGAATTTATGAAGGTATGTATTATATACACATTTACAGATTAATTCTGGATATGAGGTTTTCCCTTCCTAAAAAGTGGACAATTAGGGGTCGATAAATGACAGCTGAGATGATGTCAGACACCTGCTTTGAACATTCATATGCAGGACTACGAAAAAAATAAATTCATTTGTTGAAAAATGTTTCATCAAAATAAGAATTTGCACCATCTGATGAAAAATCTATCCCTATGCATATAGAAACTTTTCCTTCTTGTTAAATAAATGCATAAGACTAAGGACAAAATTATCATCCCATTTAATTTGCTTTCTATACCCTTTCTAAAACTAAATATTCAAACTTAACCAATTATGGGAACAGTGGCATGAATTTTAAAATCCTTAATTGCTGAATTACATTACTCAACCTAGAGAGAAAGTTCCTAATATTAAAATGAGCTCAAGTATAGTGAAAATGCAGACATTCTTTGCATAATCAAACCTATTTGCCTAAATTTTTTATGCAGGAACAGATCATAGGCAAACATGTGGCAGCCCATCCACAAAAGTCTAATCTAGTGATTATGGATCAGTGATTCTGTAGGGTATACCATGTGTTTATTGCATGGAATAATTGCTACTGGGATTGTTGGCCCAAAAAACAACTATTTTTCTCAGAAGGTGGTAGGAATAAGGTTTCGTAGCCTGATGTAATATGGGGTATCTGATAATTGTTCTTGTCTCTTTGCATTTGTAATATGTATTGGTGCTAAGAGCTAGATCTATATCTCTCCTTCGAATTTTAAAAGCTGAGTCTCTTTCCACATGTGCACGATGATTTTGCAGTCTAACCAACCACATTGATCATAGGCCATCCATGGCCAGTACGTGTGCACATATGCGTGTGAAAGGGGAGGAGATGTGTGTGAAATAATTCTCTAATAGGTGCTCCCCTAACGCTTGGATAAAGGTTTATGATTTCTACACTCATTAATACATCATCTCGGTTTCTACTTCTATACTATTAAGCAAATAATAATCTTATGCAAAACATATATAGCAAGGATATTAATCCCATAAATATATTCCCATGAATGTTAAGTGCATGAATCTTTTGTTAATAATAAAATAAATGCTTGAAAATTGAAATACGGAGTTGTTGATGAACATAATGGATATCAAATGAAGACACGAGTTTATCAAAATACTTCAGTTTGGACATAAAAAACTTACAGGGATAGGTACAGAAGGATTGTCACCCCTTTGACCACAGAGGGAGCTGGTTAGAGGGGGAAGTTGCAGCAAACTCTCGAATCAGCATTTGAAAACTGTCAGACATTCTTCTTCGAACCCTAAGAACGTGTCAATGGCGTTCGTTGATGCCCTCCTCTTTTTCTTCCTTGTCTGGTATAAAGAAAGAGAGTGACAAAGATAGATTAATTTTGTCTTGATTTTTCCAAAAGAGAGGATGAGAAATATGCTGTCTTTTTTTTTTTTTTAGAACAAATTCGCAAGGACCGATTCGAACCCTTGCCTGGCTGAGAAAATGTAATTATACACAACCTGATATTACTAAGTCTGTAAAAAATATGCAGTTTTTGTTAATTGATAAAAATAAAATAAAATAAAATTGACGCTTAAAAATCTTGAAAAGAAAGCCTAATAACTATTATCAAAAATAGAAACTGGATGGTAAAAAATGTATAGTTGATACACATTTTGATTTAACATATTATATAATACATTTATTAAAAAGTTATTATTTTTTTATATAAAATTAAAAAATAAATTTAAAAATATAATTATATATACATAATGTAAAAATCGATTAAATTAATTATATTTATATTATATTTTTAATAATTAAACAAAAACTATGTCAAAAAAAATGTCTTGAATCAATAATGTACAGAACATTTTCCTAATGAAAATTTCCAATACAGCAGAATTTTTTAAAGTTAAAAATAAAAAACCTGCAACAGTGCATGAGTTACAGTAGATATTTTGTGTTACAGCAGATTTTTAATGCTTAATAAAAAAAATCCATATAGGAAAACCTAAATACATTATACATTCAGTGGCGTTGCGCTCGCAAAGCTTAAAATTGTATATTTTTTAAAGACATGGGTGTTAGTCAGTATATGAATGCATATATGCATGCATACAATATATACACTACAACCACAAAAAATAAAATACTATATATAGATAATATTCTTGTACACACACCTAATTGTATACGTATAAACTATGTTTTTTCATATAGTTGTGTGTAAATGCAACTATATGCGAAGGCCAAATAACAAATTAAAAAAAAAAAAAAAAACTTTCTTAATTAATAATTATTTTAGAATATCTCGCCGTCTAAATGATTTACTTCATCCATTTGCACTTTTCATTTTCAGGAAGAATATTTTGCATTCAATAAGTTGATAGATTCACTAGCCATGAAAGTAATTAATTGAAGCAACAAAGTAAATCTCAGAACACTGTGAGATATATAAACAAGAAAACTCAGTTACAGTAAGAAAATTGAAATCATCTAATCTAAAAGAAATCTCTTCCTTGTACATTTATACTTACGACGTATAATGAAATATATACTTGTAAACCTAGTGATATAAACTGAAAAGCCAGGGTCCAAATTGTCCAAACAAGGTCATTTTCTTGTAGACTAGCTGTTTTCAAACCTAAACTCCTTTTGAACATGACATCCATGCCACACAGAGTCAAATTAACAACAACAAGAATTGACAACCAACTTCCTCTCACCTTCCACCCTTTTCCCCCACTTCACTTACCCATTTACCCCAGGCACAAGTTTTTCCCATAAAAGAAAGCAAGGTATTCCCTTCTTCAAGAAAAGCTAACAAAGATTTCTGAGAGAGAGAGAGAGAGAAAGAGAGAGAGATTACTTCTTCAAGTAGGGTTCCTTGCCGACTGGACCCTCTCCTTGCATCAAAAGAAGCAGGTTTAATAAAGAATAGAGTGCAATGATGTCACCTAATTAAACTGTTTATTTTTGTTTATCATTAGAAGATATCATAGTTGCAGTGTCAGCTAAACAACTGATTAGCTTGTTCAGTTAAGTTTCTACCCAATACATCTAAACTCGGACTTTCTACACTTCCTCTGCCACGTATATGACTTTATTCCTGTCCATTTCCATGCAAGAAAAGTAAAAACCCCATAAAAAATTGTTTTAAATACAAACAATAATATAATACACCATCACTTCATTTGCTTCTAGGAATGACCAAGGGAGAGGACATGAATGTTCCAAACATCACAGAGGCTTATTTTTATT